ACCCTCAAATGTCACGTCCGTAGTGAAAATTATTACAGCTAAACAAACTGTTCTTATCCGAAAGATCCTGACTAAGTCTATCTAGGGAGAATCAATCATAGTATGGATATCAGTAATAATAGTAACAGTGGAATAAAGAACACAGTTTTCTTTAAACCGGAAATAGAGAAATAGGTTCGTGTGTATCATATCAAGACCATCCACATTGAACCGGAACTAGATTAAAATTAATCTGGAAGTATTGTACTATAAACCGGAAGTAAATGTTAATATTGAACAGAACGGTGTTGACAGAACACTTGTGTTTGTAAATGATGGTTATTATGCCTAGAATATAAAATCAAAATTTCATGTTTTGAGATGTTTTTGTCTTCAGGTATTGGATATTTCACCATCTACTGAGTTGTTAACAGGTATAGTCGATATTTGAAACTTTGTTTCTATTATTCTACCCACTTTGTTTCTATTATTCTACCCACTTTGTTTCTATTATTCTACCCACTTTGTTTCTATTATTCTACCCACTTTGTTTCTATTATTCTACCCACTTTGTTTCTATTATTCTACCCACTTTGTTTCTATTATTCTACCCACTTTGTTTCTATTATTCTACCCACTTTGTTTTATTCTATTATTCATTTCAAGCTGAAGAAAACTGTCAGTCATTTATCATAAAGTATTTAGAGTCTATAACCTCATGTCAGTTATATTGGATTTACACATTCCTATCAACAACAAATTTTGAAAAATGTATTTTTTATCTTAATTAGGCTGACACATACAGATAGATGTACATGATCTAGTCAAGATGGCGACTACTGAACAAACAACACAATCCTGGATAGATCTAATCGAGAAGACAGACCCATCCCGTGTTGAAAATCTTCTGGAGAAAGTTTGTCGAAGAATTTTGAAAGAGAGTTATAATGAATCAGATTGGAATTTCTGTAAACCATTTATGAAATCACAAACAATAGAACTGAAACCAACGTCACTTCCTGTTGACGTCATAGCTGATATTGACCCCGTGACTAAATACGTACTACTTGTGCTCTACGTCATCGTTATAAGTTTATCTGTATTTGGTAATTCGCTAGTGTTCTTGACGTTTTTGTTCAACCGACACATGCGTTCAGTAGTTAATATATTCATTGTGTCGCTGGCTTTCAGTGATTTTTTTGTCACTGTAACATGTATGCCTGTAAATCTCGGTGGCATTTTAACAAAATATTGGATATTTGGTGCCATTTCGTGTAAAATAGTTCCCTTTATTGACAATCTGACCGTCGCCTCGAGTTCTCTTACTCTATGCTGCATAGCTTTTGACAGGTACAATGCCATAGTCCATCCATTAGA